TCAGAGGCAGAGGGGCAGCAGGCAGCTGGTCTGTGTGGGGAGCTGTTTTTTTAATTGTTCCCCCATGGACCAGCTTCAGCCTGCCCCCCTGTGCTGCTGCCTATGATAGAGAGGCAGCAGTGGGGTGGCAGGGATCTCCCTGGGAGTGGGGCCAGAGCACACTAGCTGCCAGGCCTGCCTCTGGGGACACTAGAATAGTAAAGTAACCGATAAGAATTCATATGGTTACTCGACTATTCGGTTACCCGATATCTAACATCCCTATTATCCACAGTGACTCCAAGATCTCTCTCTTGAGTGGTAACAATTTAGTCAGCATCATTTTATCTGTCTAGCTCTTTTCCAATTTGCAATACTTTGCATTTATCAACATTAAAATTCACGTGCTTTTTTGTTGTCCAGTCGCATAGTTTTGTGAGATCTTTTGAAGCTCTTTACAGTCTGCTCTGAACTTAATTATCTTGAGCAGTTTTGTATCACCTGCAGATTTTGCTACCTTGCTGTTCACCCCTTTCTCCAGATTATTTATGAATATGTGCAATAGGATTGGTCCTAGTAAGGACCCCTGTGGGATACCACTGGTTCATTTATTCCTACCCTTGGTTTCCTATCTTTTAGCCAGTAATGAATCCATGAGAGGACCTTTCCTTTTATCCCATGACAGCTTACTCTACATGAAGGCTTTCTGAAACCCAAGTACACTATATCCACTGGATCACCCCTTGCCCAAAATATTCTAGTTGATTGAGGCATGGTTTTAGAAAAAACATGTTAAATCTTCCAAATAAATTATAGCTCCAACCAGTTTGTCTAGTACTTAAGTTAGATTTGTTGGCCTGTAATAGCCAGAATCACCTCTAAAGCCCTTTTTTAAAAGTGGCACCACATTAGCTATACTCCAGTCATTCGGTACAGAAGCTGATTTAAAAAATAGTTACAAACCACAGTTAGTAGTTCTGAACTTTAACATTTGAGTTCTTTTAGAAATTTCAGGTGAATGCCATCTGGTTTAAGTGCTTTATTACTGTTTCGTTTATCAATTTGTTCCAAAACTTCCTCTAAGGACACCTGAATCTGGGACAGTTACTCAGATTTGTCACCTAAGAAGATCGGCTCAGGTTTGGGAATCTCCCTCACCATCCTCAACCATGAAGACCAATGCAAAAAATTCATTTAGTTTCTCAGCAATGATCTTATTGTCCTTGAGTGCTCCTTTAGCAGCTCAGTCATTCAGCGGTTCCACTTGTGGTTTAGCAGGCTTTCTGCTTCTGATGTACTTAGAAAAATTGCTATTTCTTTTTGAGCCTATTAATCCTGCAAGATGTTTGTGCATGAATGGCACCAGTTTAATTTGAGACAGTCCCACTTCTACTTAAAACAAAAAACTCTGGTTAGAAATTAAATGACTGGTGTGGACTGTTGGGCTTTATTGGGTAGGCTGGATAAAGTCTTTCCCTGCTGAAGAAAGGAGATGGTTGCATGGTACCAGTTTTGGCAAACTGTCAAAACCACTTGATTTCTTGTTGGCTCCAATAGGTGTGAATGTACCTTTCAAAGGTGATGTAGTATTATGAATATGCAGACGTCTATTTTGCTGAACACTGCTTTCTAGAATTGAGCTAGTAATTTGAAATGAATTTACTTAGGAAAAACTCACAAGAAGACAATGATTTTCTTGGAATTTACTTAAGCCTTTTCCAGTAGTTCTTTATGGATTAAACACAGAGTTTGCTGTAAATAGTCAGTAACTGATTAGTTTAAAGACAAGATGCTTTGGTCTGGGATTGCCTCCTAATTCTCAGTGGAGGTTACTACTGTCTTATTGTTTTGGAATGGCCTCTGCCCAGCAGGTGTCTGGAGATTATTTTATTTTTTTAATGCATAGCTGGCCTTGGCATTTAAAAAAATCAGATAAATGTATTGTATTCAACATGCTTTCATTATGCGTTTAAGTACATATGGAATATTTTTCATGTGCAAGTGTCACATGAATTTCTGATGGGACATTGTGTATTTGAATAATTAGTTGTATGAACTCCATATTTGCATATGAAAGTGCATTCAACCATTTTTTTAAGAATGCTCAGAAGCACTATTTAATGTATTCAGGTATATAATTACTAACAAAAAGATGTAAGAAGGTAGAGATTAGAGATGGTTAAATTTCTTGATTTATGAAAACTTCCTAATGGCAAATGTAGTTTTGTAGAAATCAAAATTTTCTGCAAGAAAATGTTAATTTACATAACCTTTTTAGTTTTCTATGAAAGGACATTTTGAAATTAAACAATACTTCAAAGTGGAATTTCTAAACAAATTTCTGTTTCAGTTTTTGGAAACTGACATTTTGACTCTTCATATTTCGGTTTTTGAATGTTTAGGGTCCCTCCATTTTCAGCCCCTCCCCTTTTGTTTCCACTGGAAAAATTTGAAAAATTTTAAATAACTGAGTGCTTTTTACATTTGCTTATTGTTTTCCAACATTTTCCAGTGTAATAGAAATTGGGGGGAGGGGAGGAGTTTTTAAATGAAAATTTTGGAGAAAATTTTTTTTTCAGTTAAAAATTGGATATTTTCCTATAAAATTTTTTGTTAGGGGAAAAGTCAAGTTGTAATATAGGTTTTAGCTGAAGTACACTTGCCCTGGACTTGATAATTTTGAATATTTTGGCTTCTTTAAATTATGAAGCATATTTGTTCTAACAATTTTGTATCTGTTGTTTTGTAACAGTTACAATGGAATTATTTTTTTTTCTTGTGTAGGTCATTGTCGCCAGCATTTAGGAGCCCAGAACACCATAGACAAAGGCATGCTCATATTAATTATGACTGTGACTATAAAGGATTTAGGAAGGATCTAAAGAAACCTATGTCTTGGAGAGAAGAAGATGGGAAATATGGACAGAGCAATTCTAGATTTGTATCACATGGAAATATCCACCACAGAATTTACGAACATAGATCACCTTCACCAAACTTAAAAAGAATTCCTTTAGAGGATACATATAGTCATAAACCTTACAGAACACATTCATCAGAGAGAAGTGAAAGCAACAAGAGATTCCAGTTTCCACCTAAATACTCAGAAATACCCTACAAAGAATATGACCGACCCCTTTACCCTCACAAAATGCAAGAAAGGTATATATCTGAGGACTTAAGAGTCACTGGAGATGGGAAAGGAATTAAACCTTTTCACAGACCATTGGGGGCCTCAGGTAAATTTGAAAGAAAATGGCATGAAGCTGAAATAAGACACCAGAAGTTACAAGAAGACAAATATGGTCAGTCACTCCGAAGAGCTTCTGAAGAATTTACGACCAGGAACTCTTTGCAGAAGAGGTATAGGAATAAAATAATTAAACCTGGGTAATGTGGTGTTAAGCCTCAAGTGAAAGTCTGTTTTTGTTATAGGTGAAGATTTCCACCTTGAAAGGCATTTATCCATTTGTAGTTTAATTGTGGGCAACTGGTGGTAGAGAAGTATTTTATCTTTTTAAATAAATCCATGTACATGGCTAGAGTATAAAAGGATCATATTTTCCTTTTAAGTGCCCCTGCACTTCTGTACTCTGGCTTGAGGGATTTTGGGTTAACTTTCCACACATTCTGCATATAAGGCCGTGCTATCCAACATTCTGCACGTAAATTCTCACTTTCTTCTCTAGTGCAAGTGTAAATTGCTTTATGTCAACACAGGTATCCTGAAGATCGTGATTACAGAGAGCATGGGCATACATCTAAAAGAGCTAAAGAAATTGAGAGAGATGACGGAGAAATAGCAAGAAATCAGAAATGGAAGCAAGATCGTTCTTTTCCACCCTACCAAAAAAAAGAGGAGCAAAGAAACCTTGGTTCTCAACCTCATCGGTCTGCTGAAAAGGAGTATACAAAGAGTTCTGTTACAAAGCTAGCATATGACTATAGTCACAAACATCATAGACACCTTGATGGGGCAAAATCTTTTTCTGATGATAGAGCTCAGAAGTATGTAAAGCAGGAAGACCAAAATTATAATTTTCCTAAGGGTGCTCGGAATAGCAAAGAGTTAGATCATTGTAGTGGTGGAAGAGTAAGACGGACTGAAGAAGGAAATAATGAAACAACCATTAAGTATAGTTCAGAGAAGAGCTGCAATGCATGTGCTAACTCTTACAAAAATGATGTTGATCTGAGACCCTTTAGTAACACAAAGAAGGAAAGAGTAAGGAATGAAGGGGATTTCAGAAAAAAAATGGATTCTTCCAATAGCCATCATGACACAAATCATACAGTTTCCGATGTGAAAATGTCAGATGTCACACCTAGAAAGGAGCTGCTCACAATCAAAGTGGATATGAAAAAAATAATAAACAAGTACAGGTACCTATTTATTCTTTGTTTCTTATTTAATTTTTGAATATTAGGGAAATCAAAGATTCTTAAGGTGGTAATTAGGGCAAAACAAGGTGATTAGTTGTTCCTTCATACAAAACTTGCTGACTCTAATAACTTACTATTTGTTTATCTGAAAATAAAATAGTACCTGATTATAAGGATGTGGTAGAAAAAATGTGCTTTTTTTTCTCCCACTGAGGTGCATTTACCTACCTATATACGGTTTAAAAAAGCAGGTACAAATCTGGTTTTGTCCTTTCTTCTGGAATAATCATTTAGAATGGGATTTTTGTTGACTTTCACGGAAGTTGGGTATTTACTTGCATTAGGCTCCTTTTGAAAATTACAGCCTTTAAAATGGGTGTGATCTCAAACACCTGAGCCCTCACATCCAGTCAAACTGTGGAACAAAATGTTATATTTATGGGCTGAATAATTAAAATGTGTTGAAAAATATTGCTGGGACAAACTAACATTTTACCCCAGGCCAGATGGTATTTCTGCAACAGCTCTGAATGAGCTTGTAAGTGAAGTCACTAACAGCTATAAAAAAAAGACATGATCATAATCAACCACTGTGCCTGTGCACTGGAAATAGCAAATGTTGTCGCTAACTTGAACCAATCAGATGTACTTAAGTGCCAATAAATTAACAGATTGCACTATAAATACCTAGATGGAAATTACATGGAGGGACAAACCAGCGTGACTTCTTCAGAAGTAATCATGCTACAGTATACTAGAATTAAGTGCCGCTGTTTTGGCGCTGTTCGTTTAATTGGTTGGCCATCCCCGGTTTATATAATCTGGGCTAGAGAACTTTGACAGAATCCTATACAAAAAGCTACTTTGGGGAAGGGTGGGGGAATTAGTCATGGTCTGAAAGGTAAAGTATTGGGATGAATTATTACAACTTTGCAAAAGATGAGCAATTGGGTGTCATAAGATTGTTTGCTAGGACTAGTGTTTATTAATGAATTGTAGAAGAAGTTGAACAGTTAACTGGAAAAATATTGTGAATGATCATATTTTTTCAAGAAAGAGTTAGAATCACAAAAATTAGATACAGATGTGGAAAAGAACATCTACAATTATATAAAGTAGGAGAAACATTTTTATAGGGGAGACAAGCAGTCATACCTCATTGCAAAAGCCAGTTTCTGGCAAATGTTAGGAAGAAATTTCCTGCACTGGGTAAGCTGCTGGTTTTACCTGATATAGGAATTCTTGGGTTTGGATTGGGTTTTCTGGCAGGTGAACAATAAATTGATGCTCTGGATGTCTGAGTGGTTTACATTGATAAACTAACTACATCAGTCTAAGTAGTACCAAAATACTAAATAGTCAGAAACTCCTCGTTTATCATGGGAACTAGTCCACAATATTTTTCCCTCCCCATCAAGGTTTCCTTTGTATATTTTTTTTCTGTCTGAAATCGGTAATAAAATGTGGAGTTCTGTTCTTGATAGAAGAAAATAGAGAGGTGCTTTCCAAAAGCAAAATTTTAAAAATCCAAAGCAATAATGTGGAACACGGAAAGGTGTTCTGTGTGCTTTCCTAAAATACAGTAAAAGCTCTGTTATCTGGCATTTACATAAGGAGAAAGCTCAATTAATGGGTATTTCTGATATTATCCAGAAATACAAAATCTTCAATCTAGCAACCAGTACTAGTATACTGCCCAGCACATTATGCAATTGCAGATTTTGCACTCTCCTTTTATGCAAAAGAGGCGGAAGACAAGTAAACAATCTGAAATCATGGATTTAGTCAAAAAAGCACCTTCCTGGTTGTCAAAACGATCATTATAGATTCAGCCCAATCTCCTTATATACCTTCTACATTGGCAATAAGTGATGTTGATAGTGCCTTCTGAATCATCAAAGATTAAATTAGGTTCAGTATATTTTAGTGTTGTGTGATTTAGTGACCTAGACACATGCTATGTTGCTCATAGTGTTATGTAGTGTAATAAGATAACCTACTGTATAGAAAACTTTACCTGTATACACCTAAATGCTTTGAGTGCAATACAAGTATTGGTTTGTTGAGTACCTGTATACTGTTTTATACTTTTTATTGATGATGTTGTATTCTAATTCTAATTTCCTAATTAAAATCGGTATTCCATTGGTGAAGTATAACTCTGTTAACCAAAATATTTGATTAACTGGCACTTCTTATTTCCCTAACATGCTGGGTAACAGAGCATTTACTGTAATGACTAAAGCATTCATTTAAAGAAAGGTAACAGAACAAGATTGTTGAATGTATTGCTGTTCTCAAAATAGTTTGAGAAACTGCAGCAACTTTGGAGACCACCTTAATTTACAAATAATTAAAACGTACTTATTAAAAACACCAGATACTCGCTGCTGCTTTGATATATTGACCAGTGAACTGGATTGCTTATAAGAAGCCAATCACCAAACTTTTTGATTATTGGATCATTATTTGAGGGGATGATAGTGGGAGGGAATAGCTTGGGCTAATGTTTTTCTTTCTTCCTCTTTGTAACAATCTTTTAGGTATTCGAAAATTATGTCCACGCTTTCTTCTCTTTTCCAGAATAAATAAACTTTTTTTTCCAATCTTCTTTAATAGGTCATTTTTTTCTAGACCTTCAGTAGTTTTTGTTGCTCTTCTCTGGACTTTTTCCAGTTTGTCCACATTTTTTCCAAAATGTGGTCCCCAGAACTGGACACACCACTCTAGTTGAGGCCTAATCAGTGTGGAGTTGAGCAGAATTACTACTTGTGTTTTGCTTACAAGAGTTGTGCTAATGCAGCTCAGAACAATGTTTACTTTTGTTGCAATAGTGTTAAACTTTTGACTAATATTTAGCTTGTGGTTCACTATGACCCCTAGATCCCTTTCTCATAGACTTTAAGGTCAGAAGGGACCATTATGATCCTCTAGTCTGACCCCCTGCACAGTGCAGGCCACAGAATCTCACCCACCCCTCCGAGAATAATCTTCTCACTTATATGTCAGATATTGAAGCCTTCAAATAGTTTGAAGACCCCAAGATGCAGAGAATCCTCTAGCTGTGATCTGTACCCCATGCTACAGAGGAAGGCGAAAAACCTCCAGGGCCTCTGCCAATCTACCCTGGAGGAAAATTCCTTCCCAACCCCAAATATGGCGATCAGCTAAACCCTGAGCATGTGGGCAAGACTCATCAGCCAGACACCCAGAAAGTTCTCTATAGTAACTCCTATCATCCCTCCATTGACCTATTCCCACTGATAATGAATGGACAATTAGTTACGAAGATCATGTTATCTCATCAAACCATCCCCTTCATAAACCCATCTAGTTTAATCTTGAAACCAGATAGATCTTTTGCCCCCACTACTTCCCTTGGAAGGCCGTTCCAGAACCTTACTCCTCTAATGGTTAGAAACCTTCGTCTAATCTCAAGTCTAAACTTCCTACTAGCCAGCAGTACTTCTTCCTAGGCAGTCATTTCCCATTTTTATATTTGCAGCTGATTGTACCTTCCTAAGTGGAAAACTTTGCATTTTTCCTTATTGACTGTTTGATTTAAAATGTGAGAAAAAAATTTCTTTCCC